CCTGCTGAAGCCCTGCAGTTTTGTAGTAAGGAATTCACTGTTCAGGAAAAACAAAAAACAAACAAACAAACAAAAAGAACATTCTTTCATAGCTTTATTGGCTCAGCACTCAGGATGGTATGTCTTAAGTTCCAATTCTATGCCAAGAACATCAAGTCCATTCTAGCAAGCAATGATGGACATACAATTCCCCAAAGCTTCCAGAACTCCTGCATGAATGATGTATGCACTAAAATATATTGTCTAGCAAGATTCCTACCTTGCCACTTTCTAGCACTATGAATCCTAACTCTTTGCAGCACAGTAATGGCACTTTGAAATGACATGTGGAGACTTTTCCCTCTGCAATCTTTTTCATGTCAGTAATCTTTTAACTTGTTGGTTAAGAATATTTTGAAAGTTGGGAGATATAGACTGGAATTCCCTTTCTATGGTTCCCTTTAAGTAACACAACAAATCCTCTCCTTGAAAAAGTGCTTTTACCACTAGTTTATTACAGAAAAAGAGGGCACTAACACTTTATTCTCTCATGTACAGTTGCACAAAATGGGAAAAATAACCATTTGGAGAGGATCAGAAGTGAACAGAGGTATCTTCCTGGTGTCTACATTCATGTACAGACACTTTTCTACTTGCTAGTCTGTGTATTAATTTTTAATTATATTCCTAATTCTACCCATGCAGTACATATGAAGTATAAGCATGTCACATGGTATTCTTGATTCTACTTGGAGGACAGAACAATTAAAACATAAATGTCACGCTATCCACCTTGTTAATGTGGAAGACCTTTATTGGATCTTGCTCTTGATCTAAACTGTTATATGAATAACATAAAACAGTTTCTTCAGTTCAGGAACAATTTTTTGGGGGTGAATATTTATTAAGTAATATATTTCAATAAGTAAATTCTAGATTTGGCCAGAGCTAAGAAAAGTCTTGAATATTGTACATACTTAGTTTCTGTACTTACTACTGGTTATGAAAGCAGACTTGGTAAGAAAACTTTATCCAGCAACTTTCATGAAAAATGGCTTAGTAAAATGGTCTTTGCACAAGCAACATCAAAGAATTCTGGAACCTTTTCTACTATATTTACAGTCATATATGCATAATGGTAATCTGTTAGACTCTATGCTAAGAGTTTAAGACTCACTGCATGCTTGCAACCAAAGGCCATTAATATGTACCTAGTTGGTTGACCTGGAGATGCTGAACATGTTGATGACAACCCTGCTCCTTGTCATGCTGTTAACAAAAAGAATTACCATGTCTTACATATATTTGCCCGCTGTGCTTTCAACCCCCCAGTCAACTCCTAAGTCTTCCATGAGAACGTCATTGATGATGTCAACCTCTGACAAGTGAGTACTTAATAAATGAGAAGCTCCCTTTAACCAGTTGTTGGAAAAAAGGGACACCCACTTCTGCACAGACAGTGGCTGTGAGATATTCCTTACTCTATCCTGATTTTTTTTGCTCACTGACTCCTGGGAAATGATTCCAGTGGCTGCCTGTCCTCACTCAGAGCTTTTGCCCTGGCACTATGAATCTTCCAGGACCTCTAACAGTTTCACTGCTTCCTACCCAGTTATAAGCAGAACCTGTGGAGCAGGTCAGAACACGGTCAACCATACCTATTGCAGGGTGCCCAGGGGGCAGGCAGGCAGGGCAGCAACGAAACAGGTTGCCGGGAGAGGTCAGGGAATCTCTGATGTTGCAGGGTTTCACAGCTTAGCTAGGGAAACCCATGATCAACCTGATCTAGTGCTAATGACAGGCCCACTTCAAATGGGAAGCTGAGTTAGATGATCTCCTGAGGTCCATGCAAAAACCCATCATTTCGATGATTCAATGAGTAGCTCCAAAGGCAGCAGATCTACCTGTTTGCTGTTGCTTAATGACAGTATCACATGATTTAACAATCCGTTAATGTGTAGGAAGTTAGAATTGCAGCCATAAAAGTTAAAACTCTATAAATATTTAAAAGAAAACTAGCTATGAGTTTAATCAGAATTTACGTTCGCAAGTCAAAGCTCCTTTTTTTAAAACAAATACATATTTCTCAGACTCCACTGAAACTGCTGATTCTTCTAGACAAAACCAAGTGTATTTTACATATCAAGGTGTAAATAGATATTTACAAATAGCCATGACTTGAATTTTGTCCGGAGAAGAGGAAATGTCTTTTAAAAATTAATGCTGAAAATCACTGTAGTGTTATAGTCTATTCCACGCATCTCTAGAAGTAAAAACAAACAAACCAAACAATCTTTAAAACAAAAGGTTTTTTCGGTTGTTTCTACATTGTACTTTTCCCACTAAGGTGAAACATGCTTCAGTTTTACCAATATGGAGAAAGGTTTTAATGTAGGCAATTTCTATTCCATTTAAAATTTGTTTAAAGATGGACTTGTTTGGGTTTTTAAGAGAATGCTCTTACAGACAACAAGTCCAGAGAGACTGCTCCAGGAAGATTGTTCCAGCAAAACAAGGGAAATAATGTATTTCATAACTGTTGTCAGAAGAATGTATAGAATTAAAAAAAACTTGAGAACACAAGACTTTGCTAACACCTTGAACTGTGTCCAAATAAAGAAAAACACAATTCAGGAGTTGGAGAACTGGTATTTGTTTCCAGTTTAATATTCTCCTGTAACATGTGGAAGCTTTTTATTATTTTTCAAGCTTATTTTAAAAATGAATGTATTTTCCAGATCTTTGCCATGCTGGGTGATATTCATATTCAATTTAAACCACACTGTGCAAGTATATGAAAACACTTTCAAATAATGACAGTAGCATTTGACAGCATTTTGCTAAATATGCGACAGTAAGCCTTGCACACAATTCTATAGGCTGACAGTTTAATAGAATGTGCATTGCCAATACAAAACTATACAGAAAAACTGTGGTACCAAAGGTATATACTTGGAGGCAAAGCATCACAATTTCCACAGGCACAGACTTTATGTTTATAAGGTGTGTATTATATTACCTTATGATAATACTTCTCTAAAGCCTGAAGGCAATTTCAGCAACCAGCAAACTCCAGATAAAGTTTTAAGCAACTCGCAGACCTTCCTGACGTGCTTCACCCCCAGCTCTAAGTCGCTATGCTTCCTGGATGCGTAAATTAATTCATATCACCTCTATACTAGCAGCAAACATACCACAGTGTTTTTCATCATGGCTTTAACAGTGAATCCATCGGAGACCTGCTGCTTGCTTTTCTTCGCATGCCCCAGTGGCTCCTGCTGCCGGGGGACCCTGTCACCTGTGGTTTTTGAGGGGCTTGAGCCCGCCTTCTCCACTACCATCTCCCCACCAGCGTCCACGACGGACAACAAGCAAAATACAGACTGGAAAAAACAAACAAACATCAACGCTCCGCCCCCAGTAAGTTAGAAAACGCAGTAGGTCTGCCTCTGTCCCCTTCCCAACCACAGATACCCCCACACACACCCCCCCGGCGCCCTCCCTGCCCCCGACAGGCCTCCTCGCCTGCCCCTTGTCCCTCGCACCCCCCATCGCCCCTTCTGCACC